CCCGGGGCCCCCCCAGCTGCAGACGGAACCTGGGGGGGGCCCTGGGGTCACCCCCGGACCCCCCCGGAACCCCCCGGACATGCCCAGCCCCCCAGGATCCAGGCCGGGATTTCCCTGCAGCCCGCATTCCCCGTGAAATCCAGGCCGGGTTTTCCCCTGGTTCCCAATTCCACCCTAAATCCAGTCCGGGCTTTCCCGAATCCCCAAATTCCAGCCCCAAATTCCAGCTGTTCCCACCCATTCCCAATCCCCAATCCCAATTATCTCCCTCATTCCCCGCTCCCACTTACCTCCCCCAGTGCCCGGTTATTCCCATTCCCGTTCCCATTTTCCTTCCTGTTTCCGTTCCCGGTTATTCCAGGTCGTTCCCGTTTCCGTTCCCATTTCAATTCCCCGTTATCCACGTTTCCATTCCATTTATCCTCATTTCCATTCCAATTCCCATTCCAAATTATCCCCCGTTATTCCCATTTCCGCTCCAGGTTATTCCCGTTCCCCGTTCCCGATTCTCCCCGGTTATTTCCGCTCCCATTCCCGTTTCCATCCCCAGTTATTCCCGTTTCATTCCCGGTTATCCCTATTTCCATTCCCGTTCCCATTCCCAGTTATTCCCATTTCCATTCCTGGTTATTCCCAGTTATCCCTCTTTCCACTCCCGGTTATTCCCATTCCCCGTTCCCTGTTATTCCCGTTTCATTCCCAGTTATCCCCGGTTACTCCGATTCCCGGTTATCCCCGGTTATTCCCCTTTCCGTTCCTGATTATTCTCATTTCCATTCCCGTTTCGTTCCCGTTTATCCCTGGTTACTCCAGGTTTTTCCCGTTTCATATCCGGTTATCCCCGGTTATTCCCGTTTCCATCCCCGCTCCCATTCCCGTTCCCATTCCCGGTTATTCCCATTCCCACTCCAGGTTATTCCCGTTCCCATTCCCGCTTATTCCGTTATTCCTGTTCCCGTTCCCATTCCCACTCCTGTTTCCATTCCCGCTTATTCCCGTTTCCATTCCCGTCCCCATTCCCGTTCCCCATCCCTGGTTATTCCCGTTCTCATTCCCGCTTATTCCATTATTCCTGTTTCCATTCCCGTTCCCATTCCCGGTTATTCCCGTTCCCATCCCCGGTTATTCCCGTTCCCATTCCCGTTCCCATTCCCGGTTATTCCCGTTCCCATTCCCGTTCCCATCCCCGGTTATTCCCGTTCCCATTCCCGTTCCCATTCCCGTTCCCATCCCCGGTTATTCCCGGTTCTCCCGCGGTACCTGCCGGGGTCGTGCCGTCTCCGGGCCGGTTCCGTGGGGGCGTCCCCGGTGCCGCCATCCCCGCCCCGCTCGCGGCTCCCGCTGCGGCTGCCGGGACCCGAACCGGGAACATCTGCACCGGGAGAGGGGGATCCGGGGATCCCGGGAATATCGGGAATAACGGGAATCCCGGACACCGATCCCGGGGATCCCGGACACCGATCCCGGGGATCCCGGACACCATTCCCGGGGATCCCGGACACCATTCCCGGGGATCCCGGACACCGATCCCGGGGATCCCGGACACCGATCCCGGGGATCCCGGACACCATTCCCGGGAATCCCGGACACCGATCCCGGGGATCCCGGACACCGATCCCGGGGATCCCGGACCCCAATCCCGGGAATCCCGGACACCAATCCCGGGATCTTTCTGGACCTGGGAATCCCGGGGATCCCGGACACCGATCCCGGGGATCCCGGACACCGATCCCGGGGATCCCGGACCCCAATCCCGGGGATCCCGGACACCAATCCCGGGATCTTTCTGGGACTCTGTTACCAGAGATCCCATCCCCCCCTCCCGGGGCTCTCCCATCCCCCATTCCCGGGACTCTCCCATCCCCCACTCCCGGGGCTCTCCCATCCCCCACTCCCGGGACTCCCATCCCCCACTCCCGGGGCTCTCCCATCCCCCACTCCCGGGGCTCCCATCCCCCACTCCCGGGGCTCTCCCATCCCCCCCTCACCTCCCCGTTTCCGCTCCCGCCGGTCCCGGAGCTGTTGCTTTTTCCGCTTGGCGCTGAACGGCAGCTTGCGGGGCATGACGGGAGCGCACGTGACCGGGCGGCGCCGCGCTCCACCAATCAGCGGCAAGAGGCGGGCCCAGGCTGAGGGGAGGAGCCAATAGGATGGCGCACCGCCTCAGAGCAGCGGCGTGATTGGCAGCTCGGCGAACTAATAGCAGCGCGCTGCACAGGGCGGGGCGGGATCAACCAATAGGAGAGCACGTTGCCTCAGGGGTGGGCGGGACGATGACACGCTAGCCAATAGCAAAGGAGTCCTGAGGGTGGTAGGTGTGGCCTGTGGAGGAGCGGACCAATGGGAAGCGGCGGCGCGGCCCGGAAGTAGCTCGAGACGGCGGTGACGACGCATGCGCAGTGCGCGGTGCCCGGCCATGCCGAAGGGAGCGAGGCCGGCGGGGGCCAAGCAGGAGGAATGGAAGGGGGGGGAGGAGGGTGAGACCCCCGTGAGGGGACCCCGAAAATGGGGGGGAGACCCCCGGGAATGGGGAGGAGAATCCCGGGAATGGGGAGGAGAATCCCGGGAACGCGGGGGGGGAGACCCCCGGGAATGAGGGGGGGAGAC